AGAATGATGAGGGCAGCGAATGTACATATGTGCTTGACACAATGGATGGATGTATGGATTGTGATAAGAATTGTACGAGCCCCCAATAAAATAATTTTTTTTAAATCATGGGTAGGGGAATATGTTCATAGGATTTTAGGATTATGGTGTAGGTGTTCACATCGCTGCAACTGTTAGACATAGAATGTTTTTGTTCACTAATAGTATATTATGTTTAAATGAGGCTGGCACATTTTAATTTGTCTACATTTTAGTTTTATCCTGTTAGGCACACATACAATTTTACTATTGTCTTCGTTTTAAAAATTATGGATGGCTAAAGAGTTGTGTAGTAGTGTCAAGTTGACAAGGGGTGGTCTGTAGTAGTTACCTAATTTGATGTCAACTTGAAGATATAAAAGTGAAGGGGTGGAGTTTCACCTGTCAATCAGGTTGCAGCTTGATGACCTCATTGTGTAGGTGCCACAGAGATCCATGACTCTCTGGAGGCGGGCCACTGTCTTTTTCTGCCTTCACCCTCCCGTTGAGAGAGAACACAGTGATATTTATAGGGAGAAATTTTCATCAAGAACCTGGCTCTCATGGTTGTAGATGCAAGCAAGTCTAAATGTTGGCAGGTTTTAAGTCTGTGCACCTAAGTTGGAGGCTTCTCTCGGCAGCAGATGATTGGCAGGAAGACTTCAGCGTGGTGGCTGCAGAGATGATGAATCCAAGGTTAGCAAGTCAGAAGACAGGTGGCTGAAGACTCTCAGGATCCACAGGCAATATAGCGGGCCACTGGCTTCAGTGCAAAGATCTGGAGGTTGATAAGCTAGATGAAGGAGCCAGAGCCAGCAATATGTAAGCAAGTTTCACACAGCATCCACTTATATTGGTAGCAGGCCACACAACCCTTGACAACGAATTGCATGAGAATTATGGCAATGATTTTACTATTGTAAGAGTGTCGCATTTTATCTTAACCTTATTCCATTATGCAGGCTTAGGACTGATTGTGATTACAATGTTAGGTCAACTTGTTAAAGGCCAATCCATTTATAAAACTTGCCCAGTCAGGTTGACACAAACTCTTAAGTATTATGCAGGGTTAACCAAAAAAATCTGGATTTGTGCTGGTTCTTGGTAGACAAGCATCCAGAAACTCACTATGGTGTTAGTGCACCCAGTGGCATCACCTGGGAAGGATCTCTCGGGTTGCAGTGAGTTTTTTCATAAAAGCAGTTTCACTTGAACCTTGTTTTTTGTGATGGCCGATTTAAGAGAACAGCATGCAGCTGTGAACTTTTGTTTCCTTCTTGGGAAAAATGCCACAGAAATTGCTGTGATGTTGAACACAGCTTACAAGGGCAGTAGTATGGGAAAAACTCAAGTGTACAAGTGGTTTTCTTATTTCAAAAAGGTGAAATGTCGATTGATGACAAACCTCATTCTGGACATCTGTCAATTTCCCAAAGAGATGAAAATATCAATTCGTAGTGCATTTGGAATTTGTTCCACCAGGTCAAACTGTTAATCAAATGTTCTATTTGGAGGTTCTGAAAAGATTCTGTAACAGTGTATGACAAAAAAGGGAATGCTTTGTGGCAGATGGGGGACTGGTTTTGCCACCACGACAATGCACCTGCTCCCACAGTCATCTCAGTGCAGCAGTTTTGGGCAAAAACCAGCATGCCTCTCTTGCCCCAGGCACCTTACTCACCTGACCTTGCTCCATGTGACTTCTGTTTGTTTCCTGGAATGGAGAGGCACATGAAGGACAGCAGTTTGATGATGCAGAAGAGGTGAAGAAAAAAACAAGGGAGGGGGTTGCCTGCAGCCCGCTGCCCGCTCCCCTCCACCGGAGCCACCGCTACCACAGGGACGCCTGCGAGCGTGGCTCCAGAGCAGATCTGATAATGGGCTGCATTAAGAGTAAGGAGAACAAAAGCCCATCCATTAAATATCGAACCGAGAACGTTACCGAGCCGGTCGGTACAAGCGCCAGCCAGTATGGAGCAGAGCACACTTCAGGGGCACCTTCGTCCTCAACAAAGGGGACATCTGTTAATTTGAACAGTCTTTCCATGACACCATTTGGAGGATCCTCAGGGGTGACACCTTTTGGAGGAACATCTTCCTCGTTTTCAGGGGGGCAAAGTTCAGATCCTACTGGTTTAACAGGTGGTGTTACTCTATTTGTGGCCTTATATGATTATGAAGCTAGAACTACAGAAGACCTCTCCTTTAAGAAGGGTGAAAGATTTCAAATAATTAACAATACGGAAGGAGACTGGTGGGAAGCAAGATCAATTGCTACAGGAAAGAATGGTTATATCCCTAGCAATTATGTAGCACCTGCAGATTCCATTCAGGCAGAAGAGTGGTATTTTGGCAAAATGGGTAGAAAAGATGCTGAAAGATCACTTCTGAATCCTGGGAACCAATGGGGTATTTTCTTAGTAAGGGAGAGCGAAACTACTAAAGGAGCTTATTCCCTCTCTATTCATGATTGGGATGAGGTCAGGGGTGACAATGTGAAACACTACAAAATTAGAAAACTTGACAACGGTGGATACTATATCACAACCAGAGCTCAATCTGAGACTCTGCAGAAATCGGTGAAACACTATACAGAGCACGCGGACGGTTCATGCCATAAGTTAACCACTGTGTGTCCAACTGTGAAACCCCAGACTCAAGGTCTAGCGAAAGATGCTTGGGAAATCCCCTGAGAATCCCTGCGACCGGAGGTTAAATTAGGCCAAGGCTGTTTTGGTGAAGGCTGGATGGGGACCTGGAATGGAACCACAAAAGTAGCAATCAGCACACTAAAGCCAGGTACAATGATGCCCGAAGCTTTCCTTCAAGAGGCTCAGATCATGAAAAATTTAAGACACGATAAAGTTGTGCCCCTCTATGCCGTTGTTTCGGAAGAGCCGATTTACATGGTCACTGAAGTTATGTCCAAAGGGAGCTTATTAGATTTCCTTAAGGAGGGAGATGGAACGTTTTTGAAGCTCCCACAACTGGTTGCTATGGCTACACAGATTGCTGGTGGCATGGCTTATATTGAAAGAATGAACTACCTTCACCGAGCCCTTCGGGCTGCTAATATTCTTGTAGGAGAAAATCTTGTGTGTAAAATAGCAGATTTTGGTTTAGCAAGGTTGATTGAAGATGATGAATATACTGCAAGACAAGGTGCAAAGTTTCCAATCAAATGGACCGCTCCAGAGGCTGCACTGTATGGTCGACTTAGAATAAAATCTGATGTGTGGTCGTTTGGAATTCTTCAGACTGAACTAGTCACGAAGGGCAGACAGAGTGCTCTATCCCGGTATGGTGAACCGTGACGTGCTGGAACAGGTGGAACGAGGCTATAGGATGCCTTGCCCTCAGGGCTGCCCAGAATCCCTCCATGCATTGATGCATCTCTGTTGGAAGAAGGACTCCGAGGAAAGGCCAACATTTGAGGATCTTCAGTCCTTCCTGGAAGACTACTTTACTGCTACCGAGCCACAGTAGCAACCAGGAGAAAACCTCTAAGTCAAGTAGCCTGTTTCTGATGCACAGTCTGCCAACATGGAAAGAACTTGTGTGGCATTCCTCACGTATGTACAGGAGTGCGAAGAAGAACATCTTTACTCTGCACGGTCTTTTATGGGAAACTGGAATCCCAGACGTGGTTGCACAAAACCGACCCCCCCACCCCGGAGTTCAACTGTAAGATACCAATGATGAATTCTACAACACATTTCAAGGTCCAAAGAAAGTAGAGTTACAATACTGATGACCGTGTGAGTGATAGCAATGACAATGAACAGCAACAAGGCTACAGTGTCCTCCCCCAATTCGGAATTGTTTAGGGAAATTGTCCTCGACAGAGATAAAAAAGTTATGCCATAATTTCACAGGACCAAGCAATTCCATTCCAGATTTTTTTTTAATTTCTTGCATTCTCTTTTTTTTCTAAGTTGAACTGAAGTTAATATACAGTTTTCGTATATGCCTCCTTTTATTTGGAAATGGGCCAAGTTTATGGATTCAAAAAGGAAAATAAACAGCATCTAAAACTTGATTAAATGTCAGACCTCAACAGTGAATCTGAAAGTATAATGCATTATGTTAATACTCATATTCATGGAACTGGAACGTAGCATAAATTTTTTTTCATTCGTAATTATTTTCTAAATAGTTCCATTTAGGATAATGAAGGTAACTAGAAAGTGGGTTGATTTTTTAAAAATATGGTTGCATTGATTAAAACAAAAGCCAATATATAATTGAAATTATACTATATAATCCAAGGGGGGGGACTTAATCTCTAGGTAGCATGAAAAATAAAGACCCAGCATTTAAGTATTCCTTAAAATAAATAAAAGACTTTGTACCGTGAGATGTTGCTAGGATGTACTTATGGTGACTGGAGCCACAAAGACAATGTAACACTAGATCAGGCACTTGAATGCACTTTTGCTGTTACTGAATATAGACTAAAGGAGATGTGGGCGTATTTAAAAGAAAATGTGAACGTTTTACAGGTAGAGGGATGGAATGTGTAAAATTGAAGTCAGATAGTGACAGAATGGCTTTGCTGACACTCAAAGCTCCTCCTTTGTGTGGTCTAAAACTCTTAAGAGCTCCAAGGTATAAGTAGAAAACTAATTTTTCTTAATAGTGAAGCTGTTACACTTACTACCATGACCGACAGCTTCTTCTCAGAGTGTTTTGGGAACTCCAGATTTCAAATTCCTATTTGAATCAACATTCACTTTTTAAATATGTTTATTGGTGACCATTTTCCCCCTTTTAGAGTACTGTTGATTGGGGAGGAGAATTTAATTCAAAATAATGACACTGGTGAAAAGGGATATTTTTTGCTCAGGTAAAGCACAGCAGTGAAACATAAACGACTTGATATACTAACTCAGAAAGAAGGATTCCAAAATATGAATTTTTTTTCTTTTTTAACATTTTATTAGGGGCTCATACAACTGTTATCCCAATCCATACACACATCAATTGTGCAAACCGCTTTTGTACATCGTTTCTCAAAACATTTTCTCTCCACTTAAACCCCAACATTAGGTCCTCATTTTTCCCCTCCCTCTCCACTCCCCCCTCCCTCATGAGCCCTTGATA